GCTATGTAGTCGGATTTCCAATAATAATAATAATAATAATTGTTATCCCGTCTCGCGCGTTTGGCGGACGATGTAATTTTCGTCGAGTCGCCCGCGTCAAAGCRCCGTAGTCTTGTACTTTGGTGTACGGTATACTTATTATACGTCGTCGTATAATAACATCAACACGATTCAGTCGTATAATGTTATTTCGGTATTAATTTCCTCATCCGAAAGCCATCACGCCGAATGCGATCCACGCGAGGGGGCCGCCACGCAGACGTCGTGGTATGTTATTACGTGAGCGACGGCGACGGCGGCGGCGAATCACCGACGTCGCCCTGAAGCCCCTCGTCACGGCGAAGAAGACCTTTCGATGCGTTACTACGTCAATAATAACTACCCCGCGTTTTGGATAAACAATTGATAAACACGAAATATACCGTACGCGGCTAATATTATAGCATCTATAATCAATGGTATTAAGAAGTATACCATAGAATTAATAGGTATAAAACACTGTGTTGTGAGTACATTATAGTTTTTCGTATTCTCCTAAGAGTATAAAAATGGTCATAGGGTTTGCTCCTCAGATTTCAGAGCAACACATCGCCCCCATATTCGACGAAACTACACACCATTTTATCTGAATTTCATTTAAATGATTTTTTATTTTTATTTTGGGAATGTCTACTGAAATATTTTATCAAAACCATTCTCGTGGCAGTCGTCATTGTTATCTGTTGTTATCGTTATATCGTTATTACCTATATTATTATTACATACATATTATAACTCTGACAAGTCTGACACCACCACCACCGCTTTCCATCGTACGTCATTATTATTGTTATAACTTATAATGTATTATTATTATTGTTATTATTGTTGTTGTTGTAGCAGTACTATATAAATATATAATAGTATAATACATTTGTCGGACAGTCGGCGAGGTCTTCTCTGCACCGGAGTAACAATAATAATTACCGTCCCGCCGCCGCCATCGCCGATCGTAATAATTATCCCACGCCGCCGCGCGCACCACACCACGCTCAGCACAAGAACTCCAAGACTGAAGACCGCTTCTCTCTCTCTCTCTCTCTCTCTCTCATCTACGGCGACGTCGCTCACGTTATTGTTTCACCGCGCGGCCGCCCATCCGTCGCCTGTTGCGCAACCCGCGACGATCTAGCGACACCGTGGTGGTGCGCCTCCACCACGTGACGATACACTTTCACCCGTTCACTGCGCGGTGGCCCCGCAGTGCGATTTTCTCGTTCGCTGAACACACACACACACACACACACACCACTATTGTGCTTACGCGTATTTCGATTTTTATTAACCATTGTTACTCTAAAAGTTGCAACGTCCATTTCTCCGCCGTCTCAACATCGACAGACACGTATGATATTAATCACTGTATTTAGTCATCGTGTACTCTCGTCTCTTATCATCATAATCTGCGGTTATTTTATCATCATAATTTTTTTTTAATCCACTTGCGGTCGTCTCCGACTTATAGGATGCGGAAGAGGAGAGGACCGGCCTCTTGTTTGGAATACGAAAAATAATAGGTCATCATCGGTGGCGTATTATACAAGTGTGGCGTTTGACGGATATGACAGGGGGGCTCTGTAGTACACCATGGTGCGTGTTATATTTGAATAATTATTTTATTTGATTTTCTATACATTTAATATGTAAATATCTTTTTTGCCACGAATGGCCGATGATGTCGATGGTTCATTTTTTTTATAACCWCAACTTATTTATAAATAATAATATAGATATTTTATTGGTGACTACCTTAAAAAAATTCTAGATACTCACCACTACCAGGTCATTACACCGGTTTTCGGATCTCCAGCTGCAGTCGCAGTTATTATAYTGTACATTGCAATAATATGTATATAATTTATATTCCTATTTATACATTATTACATTAAAATTTATATTATTCAACTACGCACGGATGGTTCGAGAACTCGAGTTCAATAAAACATTATTTTGCGTCTGACATATTATTTGGAAAATCAGAAAAATACAGGAGTTACAATATTTTACTTTATATTCCAAATCAAATCACACGAGATCGTATTATTAAAATAAGTGAATATAACAGAACGTAATATTCCAAGACATTAAACGAAATATTGATCATCTAATGGACGTTCATATTGCTTCTACCGCCGAATTGTGTCGTACACACCGAAATACACCGCACAATCGGGTTGATAAACAAAACTCAAAACTATAAATAATAGTAAATGAAGTATAAATAAGATATGGACAAACCGTGATGCACTTTTGCGGATTATTCCGAATTTATCTTACCAGTTGTAATATATTACTTATAATAAATACTATAGTACCTATAATAAATGTGCCAGAGAGGTCAACTACGTAAAATTGTATTTTCATCAGTAAGGCGTGCCGCGGCGTGATAAACAAATACAATTTGAATATGAATGTTAGAAATCTGTTCCGTGTCCAAAGGTACATAATAAGTTTTTGAAGAAAAAATAAACGATGCACGAAACGCATTCGAAAAAACTATGTGTAATTTAATTACACAGAGAACGGGTCTGTTTAAAAATAATCATCACCGTTTAAGCCGCACGTATTTATTTTTAAGTATTTTTTTAGTAGATTTGTACAATCGATGAAGTGTTAATAGATTTTCCAGACGTCCGACGGGACGTATATACGACTAATAAAAACCTTCCTCCTAGTCGCGGTTGTTTATTCTCGGAATAGGATATCGCTGGCTAATGGAAGAAATTTGCAACGCCAAAAATACAACATACGTCTTTTATCGGATTGCCTTATTTATTATTGAGTAGCTTTTTTACACGCTGAAAATAAGTGGCTTTATGAGTTTGTATATGTTTCACTGCAGCAGTACATCTGTACATGCGTGTTCATATATCTTGGCTATTTTGTTATTTATTTAGTTTTATTTATCCCCATATGAGCCCACACGTTCCATTAATGGATGTCCGTGAACGATAAGAGCTCATTTTTTTCCGTGGTCCAACCAACTGTAGTCATCGTGACTTAATTAACATTTTATAAACCGGATGGAAATAAATCAATTGATAAAATGCATAATAAACGGATTTTTATTACGTTAGGTATAATCTTATTACTCGTTATGTATACATACATCGGATATATATTATATACATCTAGCCATACGGGCTAWGGCCCATACAGGAGACGGACATTTTTTATTGATGTGTCTAACTCAACACTTTTTTGGGGGCGTAGATATTTTTTATTTAGTTTTAAGTGTAAATACTGATTTGGATTTTAACGGTCATCACGAAATAGCAGAATTACAATACATATATTATATATACATTTTATTCCATCACGCTCGTCATTTTGTAAATAATAATTTAATGATGTTTTTATTAGAATATTATTACTAAACTTAYCTTATGTTAAAATGTGCATTAGGTAGGCAGTGTTAATACCGGAGATGTGTGGGGGCTTCATTTTATCACATTAATTAATAATTTGTATGTCATTATTTTACGAATTTCAGATAAAATGTAACGTAATAATAATTTATAAGTTTCATAGATTKCAACTAATAACTAATAATTAATTTTAGACCACGCAATTGGATAGTCCATAAATTTTATAGTTTAAAACGATTTTTAAATCATAACCCAATAAATAACATAATGTATTATGATAAATAATGTATTTTATTGATCGCCTATTCGGTTTAAAATCTAGAAATTATTGAAATTATTTATATAAAAGAAAAGTGAAAATTTTTCAAAAATTGGGTGGGAGGATTAATATTGTCCACCTACGAATAGCATTATTAGAGCATTTAAGACCAAAAAATCAAACCAACTCGGTTAAGTACCACTCTAAGATTAAAATAAAACATAATTTCATCGGTAATTAAATAATAATATTGGGAATTCTCAGCTAAAGGTAAAAGACATAACATAATATTGATAGATCGCATAATGGAGATGGTCTAAAAATATAATAAGCCGGTAATGATTTTTTTATAAAAATTTATACACGAGTAATTTTTTTTAGTTTATTTATATAGGTAATTGTTTCAATATACCAAGTATTTTTACAATATTATGAAGTTAATTAATTAAGGTTTCCAAATAAATTTTAGCTCGATTATAAGTCTGGATAGTCCTCTTCGTGAGCTTCGACTCCTTCAAGTTCCTTCAAACATCTTGTGGTAGCCGTGGCTTTAGTTTGCGGTTTTTGGTTCTTTTCCGGATTTTGAAGTGGAGAGCACCTTCTATTGTTTTTAATTTCAAAAGAAATTTTTAAAATTGTTCATTGATCTATGTGATTAAGTATAGTATTCCAGTGTCGTGGAGTTGTGTGTTTCGTATATAATACTATGGGGCTATTCTTAGAAATTT